AAAAAAAAAAAAAAAAAATTGCAACCCTGTGCCATTCTAGAGTAGTCTGTTCCAGCGGTGAATATTTAGAATTCTGCGAAGCTCGTCATACACCTCTCCCCTGCCCTTTGCATGTCATACTCTATCCTGCCCTTCACATATTTCTTTCCTGCCCTTTGCCCCCACCTCCCCTGCCCCATACTCCTACAGAACTCCGCTTCTATCCCTTTCCCTCCACCCTCCCCTCCGCTCCCTTTGTGCTACTAACAAATGCATACAAATGCGCATCGTTAAGAGAACAGACGATATGAAGATAAAAAATGAAATGAACGGAAGTATGAAGATGAAGGACGGACACAAAGACAGTATAAGCGGAAAATCTGAAGTGAAATAAACAGGAGTATGAAGGCCTGAAGAGAAATGCACAGGACCATACCTTCCCTTTTACACTGCCTCCTGAAATCACGTGCAAGTGGAAAACAAAGGCACACGGGGATGCGGGCAGCTGCCGCTCAACCACAAACAACGTGAGCAGCCTTGCACGTCAGAGGCACAGTACAAGGAAAGTTGCAAGAACAATGGAAGGGGTACCCCGAGGACAACCCAAAAACTGTGTCATTATTAAATTGCTCTAATATGTTGGACCGTGACTATCTCATCTCAAATGCTCTCGTTGTCTGCAATAGGACCTGTTTTGGATGATCTCATCCACCCGACACAAACGGGTTTTGTCAAGGGGCGGAATATACAAGACAACATCCTCCCGGTCAACAAGCTCTTGAGACTAGTGAGACAGGACAAATGCAATGCGGCCGTCGTCTTTATAGACTTTGAAAAAGCATATGATCATGTAGAGTCGTAGACTGACTGTTTTTAGATAGATGCATGGAAAAGATGAATTTTGGCCCCCACTTCCGGCGATGGACCACGATCTTCCACCAAACGCCACAACCACGGTCCAAGTCAATGGGACGCTGTCCCCGGAGATTACCTTGCAACGGTCAGTCCATCAAGGAGACCTACTCGCCCCCTTTTTGTTTTTGTTTATCATAGTAATGGAAGCGCTGGCAGAAAACCTTCGCGTTAATAAAGAAATAAGGAAACTCCAGCTGTCCGCCATCCCTGAGGAGGCAATCCCCATGTGTTCTATGTTTGCCGATGATTTGACCGTCATGGTGGATGCCTCACCGGAGAACATGGAAGAAATTCAGAAACTCATAGACTGGTTCACAGAGGTCTCTGACATGGTCAGACAGTTAATTGGGGTAACAAGACACTAGGGTGGTGGATTCACCACTAGGGGGTGCGCCCACCCGAGCGGCGAAGGGTCAAATGGCTACCGGAAATACCCCCGTTAAGAGGTTTAGGGGTGATGATGACTGCATGGGGGAGGCCTGCCTCCAATGATGACTGGATTTTGAAACCTGCACTAGAAAAAATGGCGCAATGGAATGATAAACATACGTCGTTGGTCGGCAGAGCGCTGGCCGCCTTGTGGCATAAATCTGCAATATGGACCCTCAACAAAGAGGCAGTCAGAGCACTTACAAGGCAGGCCACTGCACTGCTTTGGAGAGGAAACTGCAATCTTCCGAACGTGATTAATAGGGTGGCCTGGCTAGTGGTCACACAACCAAAGGATAAAGGGTGCCTTGGGATTTTGGACCCGGTAATTCAGGTCAAAGCACTGGTCATCCAATGGATTAAACGTTTAATATTCACCCCTAGTCTCCCTTGGAGGGCCCTGGCTCACGAGCAGATAGCTCGCCTAGCTCCACAGGCCCCTTCGGAGGTCGACCCCCTTACCTGGCTGGAGGATCGTTCCTGGACCATACCGTGCCAATTCAGGTCCCAAGCGGACACAGACCGGGCAGCTGACAGATGGGACTTGATCAGGGATGATTTCTGGACTAGGTCCCTGCGGGCATGGCGCCAACTACCCCTGCCAGACAGAAGTTCACCAGACCGGTGGGAGGAAGTGGCAAGACAACCGCTTTTCGGGAACAGACATATTACAGACCGACACGGGAGGGTTTGTTGCAGTTCAGCCCTCCCGTTGCACAGCTGGGTCAAGAGGGATGGTAAGAATCCAAGATCTATGGGAGGCAGAAACAAAAAGCTGGAAAACGACTAAACAACTGAAAACCTCCCTGAGATACTGCCACAGCATCGAAAAAAATCTGGACGAGTTGATCTTTGCAATCCCTTTAGATTGGGTACGCATTTTACGAAAGGATCCGCAATTAAAGGAGAGTGACTGGGTAGCAATTCCGGAGGACATGGAGTGTGGGGAGTGCGGTGGTAATTGGTACCCACGAAGTGCTGGTGAACCTCTTCCACCGCGAAGAGGACAACCGGCTCAGGAGGTATCATCCAGATATCCTGAGATGGTGGAAGAAGACAGATCTGCACCGGGCCCGGGTGCTTCGGACGCAAGATGACTGGATAGCGTTCTGCCCGGAAACCCCGCTTGCAGAACTCCCCTCTGACCCGGAGGAGTGGCAATGGTCCTCAGTGCAGATTACAACTGGATGCAAGCAAGAAATTATTTACCCTCTCAGTGAAATCTATGTACCGACTGTTGCGACCAAAACTCAACCTGAAGGAGACGGTGAGGGAACGGTGGATGTCCCATCTGAACGTGGGGCGACATGCTGTCAACCCCATTCGATTGTTCACGGTTCACGGCCACAAACGCCAAACCTGCAAAATTAGCCTCCTTGCAATGGCAGATCGAGCACCGCTGCCTCCCAACAAACGATTGGTTAA